ATAATATTCATCTCACTGCTTTGGCAAAATATATACCAAAAGAACCAAACATATGAAATACTACAAGCAAAAATCACAATTTACAAAACCACAAATTTATATCTCAGGGTAAAACACATCTTTTGTACTCACCGTCACTTTACTTCCAACTATCTGCATGCAGTGGTCAACGAAGAGTGGTTATGGTGTAAAAAAAAACAAACAGCAACAATATTAGTAGTCAGAAGCTTTTCACAGAGGTTAAGTGTTTAGTAAATTAGTAAATAGCTAACCCTATTTATATTTTTGATACTTCAGATATACAGGCTAAAATAGATATATCAATATTAATTTCTACTATGTTTCAAAACTGTGTAAAGTCTACAGAATAAGGATTCTCAAATAAGTGATAATTACTATTTGAGGATTTTTTAAATGTACTATATAATGGGCTTCTCATATAGTATAATCTAAACATCAAGTTATGCAAGGTTAAGTGTAATCAGGCATCAGATTTTTTTACCAGCTCATAGCCCCTGAAAAAATTATCAATAGAAAATTGTTTTGTTTTGTTTTGTTTTCCAATATTGCCTTTTCTTTTCTTTCCTTCTTATGGCAGGTATACTATCAAGGTTGAAATAGTACACCTTCTTATGGCAGGTATACTATTAAAGTATTTTAGAATACAAATGTTACATTTAAAGTCATGCATTAAGTTCAGAAGTAAACTTTAGGTTGAAAACAAATATTTTTTATTGTTATGAATTCAAGGTGTATAATACTGTATTATACTTGAAAATTATAAAAAAGGTTGCTTATTATTCTAGTTTTCTGGGTAATTCTAGCATTTCTATTATAAGATCAAAATTTTCTACATAACGTGAAGACAAAGAAGCATTTTACATCTAAACATGCACATGTTCAGAAGGAGGAAATAGTTCAAAAACTGCAGCTCTAATTGAGCTTTCCTAATGGATAAGTGATAAAAGAATTTCTGAGAGGCAGAATTGTGTTTAAGAAAGCAGGAAGTAAACTCATAGTCCTAAACATAATTTTATGCAAAAATCCAAATATAAATCAAATCACTGTTATCAGATTCCCACTTGAATATCAAGCAGTGTCCAAAAAACAGCTAAGCCACAATACAAAACCATTAATCCGATAGCAGTTATTATCAAAATGTGTTCTATTTTTCAGCTAGTGCTTTAGAAATAAAAATCAAATTTAATTAAAACCCCAGTAAGAATCCTATGCTGAACAGGATATCATAAAATACAAAAAGATAATGACAGTTTCCAAGAAAATTATTTCAGAAGAATCCATGAATCTCAGAATAGAGAAGCAGCTTTCTTAAATATTCATTCAGTAGACTATTTACAAGCAGTGATTATGTAGTTGAATAAAAGCCTCTTTGGTGCCATTAACAGTCTTCTGAATTAAAAGATATGCTATTGACCTAAATTATTTCCTCCCACCAAAAAGACAGAGGTCGTATTTGTCCCTTGTTTATTTAGCACAGACATGAGACTAAAAAAAGAATGTGAGCCTGCGTTAACAATTAAAGCAGGTCTATACTCAGTGAAACAACCAGAATATGGCCCATTTAATGATTCATTTTCGCTGCAAAATAAATTCATTTAGCTAAAGCATAAATAGTAATAGATAAGATTTAGTACCCAACAGAAGCTAAGAGAAAATATTTTGGCCATGTCTGGGTTCAACTGTTTGATCATATCCAGACCATACCTGGAAAAGACCTGAAAGAGTATCTGATAATGACAAAAGCAAAACCATAATACATGTATACACATACACATATAAGTATACTGCAACTTTTAACTACTCATTATACAGGTCAGTCTAACAAATCTGCAGGTGTAGCTGGCATCACTATTTTAAATTATTTCCTACTGAGATTAAAAAAAAAATATTGCCTCTCAATGGTTCACATGTCTCAAAAAATATAACTTTACATATTTTAAAATTTCAAAGATTACGATTTAAATTCAAAATAAACTAGTCTCTTGATATTCTAGGAATGACACTGACACTGGCATTTGACAAACTAATGTTGGGACTTCGGTGGATAACTCTTCCTCATAAACGTCTATATGTGCTGTGAAGTGCCTGTGAGATCCCTTCTAAATTACCAACATATTGTTTCAGGATTACCAATCAGTAGGACAACTTTTGCAATATTAACAAAGCTTGGTTTTCCATTTTTTGAAAACATATGCTGGTGTTTTGAAAGTATAGACTCTTCCAGGTTATTTGTGGTCAAATTATCTACATGTACCTATTACCCTAGGTCAGGTCCATAACTACGCTTCCTACAATGAACAATGGACACTAAAACGCAGAAAGGAGGTTCTTCTCCGTCCCTCTATTTAAAGGTCATTCATCATGGACAGAGTTACTCAAATTTTTTCCTTTAACATTCACACAATTTAACATTCTCTATTATGGGACTTTAAGAAGAAAAAACTAAGCAATAGTTTTTATTATTATCTTATGGTTTCCTTTAGAGTCTCCTTTTCCATGCTAATTTTAGCGAAGTTAATTACACTACAAAAGACTCCTGTTTGCTTTAGAAACAAGTCTTGACGACATATTGGTGTACAGCTTCATTTTACTTTTATGTCCTTACTCAGGAACCCAGGAGCATGATAGATATTTCTATCTAAAATTTGGTTTTAGATCCCATACAAAATGACTAATGCAGGTGTTAAAAGGAAAAAATGTACAATTTATGTCTAAATTTAACTACAATTCTCACATGTTTTACAAGTGACTATAAAACATTTCTCCATCAGGGACTCTAGCTCTTAACTTTGTTACCTCAAAATGAAAGCTGTGACTAAGAAAGCATTTTCATAAAGTAGTGGTAACTATCATGTCTACTCTAAACGTAAACTTTAGTGTTGTGATAATGAAAAGGTCAAAAGATTATTGTTTGTCACTGAAGGCCAACGCTCTCACCTTCAAAAGGAAATTACATAAATAACTTTTGTGGTTTTAATGATAGAAAACAAAGTACTAATTAATGTCTTTCCAAGGTGAGAAAGCTCCAAAACATGCTTGTCAACAGGCTTTCTTCCATCATAATATCTGGGCCATGAAAAATATTAGCAAAAAAATGTATGCTCCTAGAAATCTTATCAAAGTCCTGTGCATATTTCAGGTACTCATATGTACACTGAATGAAACAAATAAAGGCCATTAAGTAGTTCTGATTTTGAGGCTAATGCCTTAAACATAGAATTTTCATGTCTTTTGAGAAACATTGAATTTCCATCTTTTGAATAATGCAATTCAAATGAGCTCATCTAATATTTATCCAATTTTTTGCATTTTAATCTGAAAAATGAGTATATAACTTGAAGTGTGCATTTCTTTGGTCACTTGAAGAGGAAATAATATGAGAATAAATGAAAACAAGTTCTGCACAAAAATCAAGTAATAATCAAAAGGTCAAGGAATAAGAGTTTCATATAATCATTATATTCAGTCCCACTTACACAAACAACAACAAATGAGTCAGAGACTCTAACAAGATCTTATCATTAAAACCACCACATGATTATTCATATATTATTATCTGTACTTTGCACTCAGATTCAGACATATAGATTTACTAGTGTATCAGCCTTTAGGCATTTGAAAAATAACATTGAATGTACATCCTGCATTTCCTAAAGCATTTTACCGTGAACAATAACTTGAGTGCAAAAATGAGAAGAGATTCATCAGAATTTCAAAGTAAAACCCTATGCATCACCTAATTCTATTGAAAACGACGCTCATGGCAAATTTCACTTATCACTTGAAACATATTTCTGCCCTTGGATACCAGAAGCAAATTAAAAAACATGCTGTTGCTCTGCTATGGTGGAGCTGCAATGTGTTATGTTTAAATAGTTCAGCATTCAGATTTAGCTTGCTTAAAGTACAATATAGAATCAATACAATCGTAGAATTCACGGCAAAATGCATTAGTAATTGCCACTGGAATTGCTGTACTGAAATAGCATTAATAGGATAGCCAAATAACTTTAGAATATATTTTTTCAATGAAGACTTGTTTTCTGCAATAGTCAACTTATGAAATTTAAAACGCATGAACTAAATGTGTACGTGTGTGTACACATATATGTATACACACAAAATATCACTGTGTGTGTGTGTGTATATATATATATACACACACATATACACACATACAGTGGTTTTATGAACTCTAGGTATTAAAAGCTTTTTCTTTACAGATATGTAAAAGATGCATTTTACTATTTCAAAAATACAACTTTTTTTTACCCAAAAAAAAAAAAAAAATCAAAGCTTAAGACTATATTTGGATGTGCATTAGGAAGTGAACAGAGCAAAATACTCCACTAAAACCAAAGTTTCCTATTAATAACAAGTCCTTTCAATGAACTTTACTTTCAAGTCTTGGGACTCACAAACAGATTTGATTAAAGCTCCTATTAGGTGACATCCTTTACTTTAAATGAAGCTATACAATAGCAATTATGAGGCAGCTTACATAGTTTGCATCATATAAAATTAAGAAAAAAGCTAACTGTTAATTAAAAAGTACTGCTCTAAGTTTCATGCAAGTAGACACCAGACATGCAGCTTTAATGTAAACTGAAGCTGTGACTATGCTAAGTTGTGCCTTCTTCAAAATCCGAAATTTTCATCTAACCACATTTGGAGCAGAATATCTGCAAAATGTAGTCAATTTTTAGTATGTACACAAAAGCTCAGGACTGGATTGGATTACCTCAGAGCTTTATATCCTTTGTCTAGCTTGTAATAATGGAAGTGTCTCATTTCTAATGATGAATAGTTTAAAAATATATATTTAATACTAAATGTGTAATACATATATAAATTGTTTTCTGAACAGTCTATGGAGTACAATGAGGTAATGTGAAGAGCTGAGGTTTGTTTATTTTTAAGCAGAATGATGCTAAGCTCATTGCTCATTCTGTTGGTGCTAGAAAAATCTCCCCACTTACAGATTTGGCAGTGGCAGAAATATACTGGACAACCATCTCACGTTTGGTGGTAAAATCTTTGTTTCGTAAAGGAGCTTTTTTTTCTTCATTAAGGTTCATGTCCTCCTGTAAGAAATAACATTTACTGTGAGCATTGATAAATTTCCACTTAAGAGCTTCAAAAGTGATTAATAAACATTAATAATTTCTGTGTCTTAAAATACTAATTCATGTGGTGACTAATGTCAAAAATCCCTTTCTGGGATACTCCACTATTATTTTTCACTCTAGATACCACAGTGTTGTGTAAATTGTACCATGTATTTATGGTTCACATCTCTACCTAGCCAACCACTGAGCAGAAAGAAGAAAGTATTTTTAAAACCATTCCACAGAATAAACTGGCAGTTTATAACATAGATATACACAATATCTATGCTAACAAAGCTCTTTATTTATCTTGATAGCAAACACACACACAAAATGCTGTTTGGCATATGCTCCCTTAGGATCGCTATTATCTGAGAAAGCAAATATAATTTGCAAATTGGCAGGGTCTATATATCTATAATATGTCACTGAAGAAAGTTCACAAGAAGTTGTTGGATTTGGAAAAGAAAAAAAGCAGAAACAGCTGTATTGCGGTAATAAATGTCACTCATTAGAGGGAAAAGTATTCAGTTACAAGAACACATTGTTTTGAGGTTCACTAAACTTTAATTCAATTGGAAATCTACCTTTATTTTGTGATATACACATTTATAACACTTTGACTAGACACATTGTTTTTGTTCATTTTGAAATTCATAGTAATCCTTGTGACATATGAACACACGCTTGACAGGGTCACAAAACCAAGTTGGAAATGATTGTGCTTCAAAATGCAACACCAAGTGAAAAGTCAACCTACAGAATAGGTGAAAATGTTTACAAATCATATGTCTGATATAGATGTGTACCCAGATATACAAAGAACTTTTACAACTCAATAATAAAAAGACAAAAGTCCAACAACAAATGAGCAAAACACTTGAATAGACATTTCTCTAAAGAAGATATACAGGCCGGGCGCAATGGCTCACGCCTGTAATCCCAACACTATGGGAGGCTAAGGCAGGTGGATCACGAGGTCAGGAGATCAAGACCATCCTGGCTAACATGGTGAAACTCCATCTCTACTAAAAATACAAAAAATTAGCCAGGTGTGGTGGCGAACACCTGTAGTCCCAGCTACTCCGGAGGCTGAGACAGGAGAATGGCATGAACCCAAGAGGTGGAGCTTGCAGTGAGCCAAGATGGCACCACTGCACTCCAGCCTGGCAAAAAAAAAAAAAGAAGAAGAAGAAGAAAAAAAGAAGATATACAAATGGCCAATAAGCACAGGAAAAGATATTCAACATCATTAGTCAGTAGGGAAATGTGAATCAAAACCACAATGAGATACTACTTCACTTCTACTAGGATAGCTAGAAAAAAAAGAGGAAAATAATAAATGTTGGCAATGAATTGAAGAAATTGGAACCTTCACACATTGCTGGTGGGAAAGAGAAATGATACAACCACTTTGGAAAACAGTCTGGCAGTTCCTCCAAAAGTTAAACAGATTTATCTACCATATGACCCAGTTTACATACCTAAGCAAAATGAAAACATATGTCCATACAAAAACTTGCACACGAATGTTCACAGCATCATTATTGATAATAGCCAAGGAGTAGAAACAATCCAAACATCCATCAATGGATGAATGGATAAACAAAATGTGGCATATCATACAATGAAATATTATTCAGCTCTAAAAAGGAATGAAGTGCTGATACATGCTATAATCTGGATGAACCTTGAAATCACATTATGCTAAGTGAAATAAGCATTATAAAAGACCACATATTCTATGATTCTGTTCATATTAAATGTCCAAAATAGGCAAATTTATAGGGACGAAAAATAAATTAGATGTTGCCAGGGCCAGGGGAGAAGAGGAGGGAGTTTGGATTATGACTGATTATGGGTATGGTATTTCCTTATGGGGTGAAACAACTGTTCTAAAAGTTGTTGTGATAGTTTCACACTCTTTGAATATACAAAAACAAAAACTATGAATTTGGCCATGCACAGTGGCTCACGCTTATAATCCTAGCACTTTGGGAGGCCCAAGAAGGAAGATCACTTGAGCCCAGGAGTTTGAGACCAGCCTGGGCAACATGGCAAGACCTCGCTTCTACAAAAACTTTTTAAAACTTAGCTGAACGTGGTGGTGTGCGCCTGCAGTCCCAGCTACTTGGGAGACTGAGGCAGGAGGGTCGCTTGAGGCCAGGAGGTGGAAGTTGCAGTGAGCTGTGTTCCTGCCACTTGCACTCCAGCCTGGAAATCAGAGCAAGACCCTGTCTCGAAAGAAAGAGAAAGAAAGAGAGAGAGAGAGAGAAAGAAGCAAGAAAGAAGCACATTGTAAAAGGGTGAATTTTATAGTATGTGAATCATATCTACACTTTTTAAGGAAAAAAAATCCATATTTTTATCCCTTTACTCTTACAGAAATTCTGAGCATTCTATTTTTTTAATAAAGTAAACTAATTGGCAGAGAACAGTATCGGTTACTTTTTATTATTTTATTTATTTTTTTTTTTTTTTTTTTTTGAGACGGAGTCTCGCTCTGTCACCTAGGCTGGAGTGCGGTGGCGCGATCTCCACTCACCGCAAGCTCTGCCCCGCGGGTTCACGCTATTCTCCTGCCTCAGCCTCCCGAGTAGCTGGGACTACAGGCACCTGCCACCATGCCCGGTTAATTTTTCGTATTTTTAGTAGAGACAGGGTTTCACCGTGTTAGCCAGGATGGTCTCGATCTCCTGACCTCATGATCCGCCCACCTCGGCCTCCCAAAGTGCTAGGATTACAGGCGTGAGCCACTGCGCCCGGCATCAAAGTTATTTTTAAAGATGCATATGTGAGAATGTGGAAGACAATCCTCAAAAGTAGACAAACTGCATCTATCTATTGAATAGTAACTGTTGACAGCAAAAATCTATATTTGCAACCACTGCAGCAACTCCTATGATGATTCATTCATAGTCAATACTTATAAATTTTGTGTGTATATATATATATATATACATCACCTCTCTTCCTAATTACCTGGATCACTGTCTCTATCCCCACTTTTCTATCTAATGTTATTTCTCGTTTGGATATTTTACTTGTTAATGACTTACTAGAAGGCAGAAGAATCTTTTTCCTCTCTCTCTCTCATAGGCTCTGGCATTGTTGAATCAAAGTAGAATCATCGAAACTAGGTTGGATAGCACTTATAATGTGGTCCACAGACGCTCATCTACGATTTGTATCTATTTCCTTTTTTTTTTTTTTGAGGTGGAGACTTGCTCTGTTGCCCAGGCTGGAGTGCAGTGGCCTGATCTTGGCTCACTGCAACCTCCGCTTTCCAAGTTCAAGTGATTCTCCTGCCTCAGCCTCACAAGTAGCTGGGATTACAGGCATGCACCACCACACCCAGCTAATTTTTTTGTATTTTTAGAGACGGGGTTTTGCCATGTTGGCCAGGGTGGTCTCAAACTCCTGGCCTCAAGTGTTCCATCCGCCTTGGCCTCCCAAAGTGCTGGGATTACAAGCATGAGTCACCATGCCCAGCGTATGTATCTATTTCAACTGACAGGGAACTCCTTACCTCCTCAGGCAGCCCCATTCATCTTAGGGTAGTTTAATTTTTGCCAAATTTTTCCTTCGATGACTGGACATGAAATATGTACAACAAAATAATGTGTGTTAAGGTGGGTGGCATGACCTTTTTTCTTCTCTACTTTTAAAATTTTGAATCACTTATTTACTGAACACATACTACACACCAGAAACTATGCTAGGCTATCTAATCTGGTAGACTGTTTTTACACTCAAATTAAATATTATTTATAAAGCACTTAGAACAATACCTGACAGTAAATGCTATATATGTTTGTTGAATAAATAATTTATGGTCTAGTAGTAACAAATAATTCTAACTGAGGCATGTATCAGATTCTTTGAAAACACAGAGGGCAGATGGAAAGGTCGGAGATGTCTTTACCAGGTTGTGAATCTCAAAGGATGAAAAAATTCTGACTGGAAGGAGGGAGACCAGTCAGGAAACTCTAGTGGTCATGTATCATGTTTTGCTGCCCAACATCACTTGAACATGCCCTCTACAATTTAATACATCCTCACATTGTCAGTCCCACCTGACAAAGGTATAATCTATAAAAACTACATTTGTCAGTCTCCCTTTTAACTAGAGTGCAGGCATGTGGCTTCGTCTCCACCCATAAAACGCATGTATAGGAGGTGTAGATTTAGAAGTGAACTATGTGAGGAAGCAGGCCACAAATAGGCCATCCATTTTGCTGATGCAGTTGGCAACAGAGGTGATGTTGTTACAGAACTGATGGCATTAACTGTGTCTTTTTCTTTAAGACATTTTGATCAAATGGTTCTGGGATAAGAGCTCCTTAATCGGAACTGTATTTCAGTTGTGTGGTTCTGGAAGTTATTCCTACAATGTTATCTGGAGCCTGTTTCTGCAACTCTCTTAATTCAAGAACTACCTAATATCCCCTAAAATTATATTCTATTTAAACCCGCCAGAGTGGATTTTTCTTATGTTCAATAATTTGGGCTGAAGTAATTTAAGTGACTAGAGATAAGAGTCGAACTAAGAAGAAATGTCAGATTGGACAGAAGGAAATTAATTCAAGAGCCACATAAATGTTATTTGAAGACCACATTCCTTCTTCCAGGCTAAAGTACTCAACTTATCTTCATGTAACATGGGTTGGTGTCCACATCTCTCTCTTAAGTACTCTGTGGTTTAACAAATGCAAGGAAGGAAAGAACATCCACCTCCCTCACCTTGAAATACTTACACCTCTATTAATTCACCCTCTGATTTTATTACCTTACTGGCTAAGTACATCATTCTGCTGACTCGTATTGTTTTTGTTTTCATCAAAATCCCTATGTTCTGCTCACATATGCTGGGCTATGTCTCTATTGCCTAAAAAAATTCTGGTTAAATTTCATTCTCCTGTAAATGTGGGTATTATCAATCTGCATCCTCCAAGTAGAATCAACTCTGGAATGCT